AGACAGAGTTTTGCAATGACCTCATCACTGGATCACTGGATTCAGACTGGCAAGGCTGTGATGAGACTATGCTGCCTATTTCAAATTTGATTTAAAATACAAGTGTGTAGCAGCTCTGAACAGCTACTGTGAGCCCCTGGCCGTCTACTTCTCCTACAGTGTGAAGCACATAATGTGTTCTCATGTTTCCAATTATGTAAGGAGATAAGTACAGTCATTTATTGAAGTATAATGAAATATATTAGCATTTAACAAGAAGCAAGACATCTTTCAGTATTTTGAAGTGTTTGAAGTTTGCTGTAGAATTGAACTGCTTTCCCCTAAGATGAGATCAAATGGCGAATGCTGTGGATGTTACTACTGTACACACTTCCTCACACAAACACACAGTAACACTTCCACTTTTTCTCCTTGCTGCTATAGGGAGAAATTATGCCTGCTTATTAGTATCATTCTCCTTCGGTCCACCAGGAATGAAAGTGAGCCTCTTTGTTCGAATATAGTAATATGATATGTTCTCTCATATCATATCTCATGTTTTATCATGCTGTTCGGAGCTTCTAGGTAAACACCCCCAAAATGTATTAAAAATAAACATTTTGGAATGTACTCCTTCTCAAAATGGAATGTGGAGTATTGAGGAAAATTGAATACTACTTGTATGGTCATGTGTAAAATTTCAGAAAGAAGTGCCAAGCATTAAAGTAAAATATGTTATTTATTAAATATTGTCTTGGGTCTAAATCCAATAAATGTGATTAGCCTTTGCATTTATACTGTATACATACATGCATTTAAAAACAACAAAATTCTGCCTAGATGTGTATCTGACATTACTGCTTAGTGAAAGATGCATTAACTAATTTCAGCATTAACTGAAATCCTTGTCATTTTGTGACAGAATTCCATGCCTCCCCATTTCCAAGGTACATTCCAAGCATATAGTCCTTTGAAGACCCGTGTAACAGTTTTCTGTGTTTGCAGACTTTTGATATATCAAAACTAATGCTGATTGGCGTGAAGTCTGTATATAGTAGCATACGTTTGCCGTGGCCACCAGCTAGGAGGTGTTTCCTCTCGTAAAACCTCAATTAAAATATCTGAACTAAAATGAAAGCAAAGTGAGATTGTAAGCAAGTTCAGATGTGGCAGCATAGGGGAGAAGTGCTCTGAAAGCTTTGCTGCAGTTTCAGAGGTTTTCCTTTGGAGAGACTGAGGTGTTTGTATTTAGGACTATAGAAAATGGAGACTGGTGAAGGTAGCTGATGTAGAACATGTACAGTATAGTACCACTTGAGCATGAGGAAGAGTGCAGAGATTTGCGATTTGAGCTGGATCTCTGCGTTTATAGAGTGTGCCAAGTCAGATCACCCTAGAAGTAATTTGTGAAAATCTATTCCATGAAGCTGCCATACTATAGGCCCTCTGCAAATGTACTTGAATAGGATTTGAAGTTTTTTTCTTTCGATTTGTGTTTTACAGGAAACCCTCAGTTTAACAGACTTTTGGATTTAATTAATGATTTTGTCTGTAAAAGAAATGAAATATTAAAACAAGGTTAAATAAATACTTCAAAGATTTAAAGTTCAGAAATATCAATTATGCCCTATAGAGGTAGGTCAGTTGCTTTTGATGGGGGTTGTTTGTGTTTCATATGCTTTAGCAAATTTTACACAGTATATTTACGACACGTGAAATTGAGACCTTGTGTATTAGTGATGAAAGGGCCAGAAACTATTTTCATTAAGTGTGTTGATTGCAATTGTTAAATAAATAAGTCAAAAGATCCAGGATGCATACATACTGTATATTGATATCATGTAATAGTGTTTTTGGGCTTATAAACCACCATAAAAGACATTGGATAATAATGGACACCCCTTCCCTCTACTAGTCCTTTACTGTACTGATTTTTGTAATTAACCCCTGTCATTCTCTTGATACCTTTCTCTGTCGTTATCGCTGCTGTAACTGTCGGTTAAGTCTTGGGTCACTCTTGAGTGATAGCAGGGTGGTTCTGTTACATATCCTACCAGTGCGCTGAATGCAGGGTGCTCTCAAATATCTGTGAACCAAAGCTTCTTTTTTCGTACACTGCTATGCGTATTGAAGTAACAACATACAGATCATATGGTATGAGTAAAACGGTTGAGAGAGGGTGAGTTGTTTTGCACAGGAGTTAATGACTTCTTGTTTCTCTTAACAGGATTGGCAGAGACTAGAATGCTGTGTAGCCCAGTGTCTTGCAGATTTTAAAGTGCCTTCCCTTTTGTCCAGCCGTGGGAGTTAAAATATCATGAAGCCTGAAAGACGCCTGTGCTAGACATTTTGCATTCATCTGCATTGTGTACTGTCTCATACTCTATGGAAACAAACAAAAAAGATCATTAACGTTTATGGTTTTATCAGGCAAAGCATGCTCACTTTTTTAAATGGTTCCCATTTAAAATTCCATTTGTTTTCTAAAATATTGTTCCTGTGTAAGGGGAAAGGCAACTTACTTTTACTCCTCTCTTTGGTTTTTATTTCCACAGCAAGTTGATGTGGAAAAATGGGTAGGTCTGCCTTTATTCACCCAGTTAAGCCATCCCAAATTCACAATCTCCATTCATTCCTGCTTGCATAATACTAGCATAATATAACGCTGGGCAATATTCTAACGACACGCCCCATGAGGAATCTAGCTCGATATAACATTGCCAATGTGTGGACAATGTTGTATTTGTTTACTTATTTCACAGTCTTGACATAATATCAGTACAAGTAAAACAAACTGCTTGAGAAAATTGTAGTATTTTAAATGTCTAGATTTTGGTGGTGGCAAATATTTTCTGTCTGTACATTAAAAGAAACTATTAAGTATTATGTATCCATTATCTAAGTCTCTAGATTTTGGAGATAAATTCCCCATATAATCTTCCAGATATTCTGGAAGAAAGTCTTGATACAGATCAGTAGTATAAAAGTCCTGTTCTAGTGGTACAAATGTTCTCTTTTGAATGCTGTACAGAAGCAGAATCTGTATTTGATGAGAATCAAATGGCTTCATGATTCAATGTTTGATGACTTTAGCATATTGCCCACATTAACTGGAAGACAGAATTATGGGGACACTTGTGAATTGTACTGAAATATTTTTAATAAAGAAAAACTATATAGCCCATTCTCGTTGAGTTCATTATGCATTTCAAATGAAAACATGGCAGTATTTGTTGCGGTATTAATCAAAATATCATCAGAATTAAAAGAGAAGCTAGACTGATTGCTTGAATTCAAAGTCTAATTGTTCCTTAACCAGCACTGTTGAATGCTGGTTTCAGTTCTTCAAAGAACTGAACTCATCAAAGGAAGCAATGAAGACACTGCAGCTCTTGAAAGACCAATGGAGAGCAATGCTTTGGGTAAAATGTTTGACAATTTCATCTTTAAAGAGAAAGATCATGTGTATACAGTATGAGAAGAAAAACACTGATTCATGTGTTATACTTACACTGAGACGTGGAAACTGTCCTTCAAAGCTATGGATTTGTTTTCACATACAAATGATAAATAATAAAGGAACATGTGTTAATGAATATTACACTGCATGTTCATTTTTTCAGTATTGTGCAATATTCCCAGTAAGGTAATTAGTAAGTGAAGATTTTTTTTAACATGAAACCATCCTGTACACATCCTGAAACAAACAGCAACAGCCAACCAGCATATCATAAAACTGATATGCTGTTCTCCACAGTTGTCTTACTGTATTTTAACCCCAATGAGTTTGATAGGAGTAAAGAAGATTAAGACAATATAATATATAAGATGAGGCATGATTAGTATGATCAGACAATGCACTGTTAAATTTGACTGCAGAACATCTACAGTAGATTATGGCCAGCAAAACATATCCTCTAATGGATTTTCCTTTGAGACTGTTAAGAAATGTTGATATAACTTCATGGTTTGTTATTCTTCCAATCATGTATTTCAGAGATTTCTGTGTGTCTCCATAATTTTGTCAACTCGTATATCTGAAAGAAATACAGCCCAATGCTCTAATGAGGAATATCATTGCAGAACTCACGGTGGAATTAGATTTGCATTAATATTTACAGCTCAGGTGGACACTCCAGTCCAGCAGGCTCTTGTTCTGATGATACTCAATTTTTCCTGACGTGTTAGTGTGGATTGAAGCCAGTGTTGGAAGGATTGAATATTAAAGAGCACGGAGTATGGATTTGATTATGTAAGGATTTTATTCATTATTTTAATCATATTACACTTAGAAAGTCTGTTTTTTACTCATTTTGTTTTCATGACTCCCCTTGGGTTTACTGGTTTTACAGTACATATTCTTATTTGTTTGGCTGCTATAGTACAGGTACACAAGGCTAGAAACAGTGTTCAATTGTGGAAGAATTAAGATAAGATAAGGTCACTTTATTGGTTAAGGGCCTTGCTCAGGGGCCCAACAAAGTAGGATTCCTCTACTGGCTCCGGGATTTGAACCAGCAACCTTCCAGCCACAGGTGCTGATCCTTAGCCACAGTGGCACCACTCCCGCCAATTGTAATTATTCCTGGAATTAAAACCCAATAAATTATAGAGATTTTGATCCCGTATCCTGTGCTAGACTGTAAAATATATTTCCAAATGCAGGTACAACTTTAAACTGCATACAGTACAGTCATGATACACAGTACTGAGGTTGTAAACCTCTAATTGAGGAAACATGGTACTGTCCATTTAGACTGCGAGTGCTCTCACATTAAAAGCAGAAGATTCAATGATTTGTTTCCTTAGAAAGAAGAAAATAAAGCTTTTCATGCACTTAACCTTGTGCAGAAAGTCCCCCAAAGCATGTGTATGGATAGGTTTAAGCTTATAATGTTGGCCTTCCCTTAAATGCTCAATTTTTTTATTTGTATTTCCCTGTCTTTATCTCCAGAGAGAGCCGTACTGATGCCTGACCTTTATTTCTCAGCATTTTAGAAAATTGTGAACTGTGTTTCAACAATCTGTAGACTGAAAATGAAGATAGTTAGGGAATACTTTTTTGAATATATGGATCTTTCTTAATTATAAAGACACATAGAAATGTATGTACAGTATAAATAGTCCAGCAAACTCACACACACACCTAACCCTTTTTTTATCTTGCAGTTGAAAACTAATAAATAATATGAATTTAGTCTAGGAAATACTTTGTTACAAGTTAGAATTCATTGATGCTCCTTGCTCTTTGGTATGAATTCCTGGGAATAAAGGTGAAATATGGTGCTCTCGGTTAAAAAACAAGTGAATGTTGGATCAGTTAATGCATGTCTACAGTATATGTACGGTACTGGAATGCATTTATTGCAGCATTGTGCTCTATAAGTGTGTCTTTTTGTTCTGTGTTTAGCTAAGATACCCCTGTAGATTTGACAGT